AATGGCTTAAAAACTTTTCGAAATACATTTGGAGAGAACGTAATTTCTAACAGGTAGATAAAACGTAAGTGCATCTAAAAAATTTCAGGTGGCGCTCACCGGTCTAATTAGCTGACAAGGAGTCTTCATGCCTACTGCACTGAATATAAAACACTTGTTGTATTGCACGATAATCCAACCTGTCGTACAGACTGATCTACTGGCGACTAATGAATAACAGCCGTTACCTAGTAGCGAATAACGCACAATCCAGACCTCACAATTAACGTTAAGAGAGGCATCCGTCATCAATTCGGACAATGCTTACGCGAAAGATGCCATTTCAAATAAAGCAAACAATAATCTAAATAAATCTTTCGAATGCTGTCAGATTATGGCGGCAACAAATATTAACGCTAATAAACTAACCGCTATCGGCATAATTACGGCATTAGTACCAATATGCAAATTAACATTGATGCCGCACACCGATGAACGTCTACCATAATGAGTCATATTATTATACCTGACAATCCGTAGCAGATACTGTATTTAATGATCATCTCGTTTACGGAATGGCCAATGCAGAATTTATTACAACAATCGGAGAAAACTTCCAAAGCAGATGATTCCGACTCATCCTTTACAAAAAAAATTAATTTAAAAACTCAAAGGCTTCATGACCAGCTAAGGAATAACCGTCGTCTGCAAATCCCAAAACCAGCTGGCAGTGTCCTGGGCATAAAAAGTATCATACCAAAACAAGAGAATATCTGGATAATATAGAAAATAAGCTGCTTTTACGGAGAAAACTACATTGGAGAAACCGTAAGAAACTGAAAAACCGGCGTAGAAAACATACTTTGTCTAAACCGAGCAGATGAGAAAGGGTCTGCTCCGATCGAACAGCACATTAAGGAACCACGTCATAAAGTGGGATGCAAGCAGCGTCGACCTCATGGAAGCCAACTGTAGAAACAAGGATTCTGAATGCAGTCACAGTGGAGCGGACACAAACAAAATCTAGAGGCAGGTAGGAACTTGCTAAATCAGCCTTGCGTGGCTTCACTGTTGTATAATTAAATTGTGAATAAATGGAGGTTATTTTAACACACATCTTCGGTTACAAATTCACTACCATGCTCTACATACTTTGTACCAAGACAAAAATTGTTTAAAGATGCATCATACACAAAGACAGTTCTCTGGCACCAAACCGAAGCTTGTCATCCATAAATCGAAGGTCAACTGCCTCCAGGTGGGACCCTTCCCACAGGTGGCTTACCAACTCGAAACGAAAGTTTATTGCGAATTTTGTTCTGGACTCAACAGCGGTTGCGCATTTCATGAACAGTTCCTTAATCGTCAGAAATAACTAGCAAAGTATTATTCCGGTTCGTAAATCATGTTAAACGCGTTAATGGAATCATTCACTCACTGGTATCCCATGGAAACCAATTGGTTTAGTGTTTCGTTAGCCTATTAAAAGAAATATGAAGAAAAAATGGATCCGTTTACATAGATTAATTTATGCGTTTGAAAACCCACAATGAAATGATCTGCAAGAAAAGCAAGTAAAGTGTGCGTTGAAAGTTTTTGAGGTGTTAAAGATACATAACATAATGCAGAGAGGACAAATATCTTCAGAAAAATGTTATCAGTAACGTTCCGTGACATTGCAATAATCGCATTCACTTTAAATATTTGGCATGACTCTGAAAACAGTACGACATTTTAAAGATGTGAAGTACTTTAACTAAAGTCCAGATGAGCAATCCAATTCAAGTTACGAATCGGTTATCTGCCATGCCATATTACTTTTCTGGAAGGTGACTATGCTAAGTTTGATTTACCGAACAGCTGACGCGTCATTTTTGATGCAGGATTTTTACATCTTATAAATGCTGCAAATGATGCACAGTGATAGCATACAGGCAGCCGGCGAATAAGAAACGGTGACCTATACATCGGATAACAGCTTGCATGGGCGTAGGCTGCCGCCATTTATAATTACTCGTATATTATTGTTTTGTGCACCGTGAAATGCTACACATACTGGTTTTAAAATGTGCATTATTTACAGAAAGATTGCACAGATATTAACAATTTCGTAGTGATCATGAATTTGTTGGGGCATAATGGCAAAGAGGTAAAGACGTGCTTTGCTTCAACCAGCCGAAAAAATGGTAGCAGGTCTCTGTACGACAAGGATAGCTTCGTGTTCTGGTTCTGTCATTCCAGAAAAGGCGAGAAAACTAAACCATACTGTCAGATGTGGGCACCTCATGTCAGGCTGCACATTATATTGACCAACTTGATAGCTGATTTTCAGTAGAGTAATCCGCAACGCAAGGCAAAACCCACAATATTAATATAATAACAGAAACGATAGTTATATTCTCGGTAGAACAGACAGTATTCAAATAAATTAAATTATGGCTCCATTGCAGAGATTTTCAAGAAAATATTCTCTCAGTCAGAGAATATTTATCGCAGGCACTTATCACTGGACCATGCATTATTGAAATTCGTTCGAAACCAATTCATCGCTAAACCCTTTTTTTTGTAGATTCTGTAAGCTTTAAAAAAGGCAATGTGTAAGCCATATTTACGAATCGTGCGAAAATTCCTACGTTTGTGGGAGTTGTTCCACCGACGATTCTTAGAACATCGGTGTATCCCACGTTCTTGATGGATTTTCAAGAATGCATTAGTAACCTACATCAAAGTGGAAGTTTTCGAATATGGTGGTTGCCATCTATCGATTGCGTATAACAAAATATAATTAGGGTCGTGAGTCGCTCATTACAAATTCCGTTTGCAACAAGGTCACATCCTGCAAATCGTCGTTTGATGCATGCACTAACACCAACGTAGAAACTTGTGTGTCTGCAGTATGGTCCGAAATAGTGGAGAGAGATTGCTACCAAAATTGAAGCAGCTGGATGTTCAAAATTTCGCGTAGTTGGCAAAGTTGAAATCCGTTGTCACCAATCAATCAAGGAAATGTGATTGGTTGAATTCTTATAGTTTTTCTATAAGCTTTACTGCGACATTCTTAATACAATTTTCCTTGCTTATGAATCTCATCTAATCTCCTGCGACCATAGTCTGCGCTGCTGACTTGTTCTAAGCGATATGACTTATAAAATCAGATCTTGCTTGCATTACAGAACAATTGGGTGTTCTCTAGCAACTGCATATTTACTGTTTACTAAATTTGATTTGTGGAACTAACTTCCATCATTCTTGCTTTAAAAAGTTAAGTAGACGCTCTCGTGTGAATATTCTACTCTACAAGCAACTGTAGATTTATACAATGACATATTCAAAAGCAGTATTTGCGTGCACGAACATTGTTTTGACTTCTACTTTATTTCAAAACAGCCGTGATTTTCAGTTTTTCATGAAAGGATTTACTAAAGGCTTTTCACTTTCAATTTGCCAAGGTTTCTCGGTATTGTGGCGGCCCTTTTGATCCCTGTTCGTGGCAGCCCTATGACCTTTCGAACATCAGGTAGACAACATCAGCGAGATATGCAACAGTGTTTTCCAAATGTCACAACATCGTGATAACACCACTTAGAAATTCCCATAATTCAGAGACCAGGGACGCGTGATCAGAAAGGAACCATCACAGACGTACGACTAAAACAAAGTCATCCTCACCCAGAAATTCATCAACTCTTTGTAAACCAGTTGGACCGACAAGTATTCGATTACGAATCCTTCCCAGGCCGCATTATCATGTTAAAACAGCTCAAAAGTTTTTCCACCCACTGGCATGGCAAATTTCGTTCAGACGGTTTCCCAGTTCGGTCTGAATTTGTTTTTGTCTAACCTTTGATGACCCGAAGTTTAACGCAATTAATCAATGACAATGGCAGCCAATTTTGGAAAAACGACGGGTGGTTTTCACCTCGTCATGAGACTGCCTACTGTCGAGCCTGCATTGCATACACAGAAATGATTTAATAAGAAGTAAAAGTATCACTGAGAACGCAATAAAGCGTCTGATATCTAACAGAAAAGTGTAACAAACATCAACGATAAACAAACACAATGAACGAACGACAACGATGGTAAATTTAAGAAAAGGATTGTCCCGAAAGCGACGGTTTTTCCGGCCTTCTCATCCTGCCCTGATTTGCAACGATGAGTTCTTCGATGAAGCTAAAGTAGCCGATGAATCACAGGTACTTAGACTTAATCACTTACCTGCGAGCGTTGTGAATATTCGTGCCTCCCAACACTGCTCTAACACTGGAAGAAGACATATTGAAATTATGAACAGCCAGTGATTCTTCAAACGTAGCACCACCAATCATAAATATGATCACTTCTGAAACTCTAAAATGATATCGACAAAAATGAGGCACGAAAACGCTTCATCTACAGAAAATAAAATTTACACATTTAAGTTACGTTTTTCTGAAAGATGCATAATTTAAATGGATGATGATTAATTGGTCATAAAAATATAGTCGGTTTCCCCAAAACAAAACATATTATCTCAGATCGGCTTGTTTTTAGCACAAAGAAAAAAAGAAACCTTTCTTTTAATGCTTGTCATCTTCAAAGCCAAGAAACACCAACAATTTTTAGTAGCTGGCAGACCTGTGAAACATGCATGCTTCAAAAATCAGCCTTCTGGAACTCAACTGGGGCTAACGCTTAATGATGACATGGCAACAACAGCAACAATGTTTTTTAGAAAATTCGTAGCTGCTTAAGGCAATTTAATGAAAGTTTAATTTCTTCTTCAACTTCAGCAAATGATTTAAGTATCACCGCTTTGCCATCTACGTAAAATACAGGTCTCAAACATACACTAATCCACTCCTATATCCCCACATATTCCTGCCAGGCTAGATTCAGAATAAACGCCAAAGCAGTCATCACGAAAGCTCTAGAAGAAAGTGAACAAATGACAATATCATCTCTCGAGTCGAATGAAACGAAGGTGTAACAACGTTGATGAAAAATAGATCTCAAACGACGTCTGCGCTGTTCATTCCCACTACCAACGCAAATAAACTCATCGTCCCTTTAACTCATCACTCATTCATCGCAAAGTGGTGCTTCCACTCGTCACGTTTCGCAGCGTGGTCACGAGTTTCACCGCTGTAGTAATAATCTGCTTCGTCACACTTCCTTTGCTGATTGATCAAACTGAATGTAGTCATTTGAACATTTCTTGATTCAGCAGTAGGAACGAGCGAGTCGAAGCGAACGCCAGTAATCAACGGAACGATCTATATTTCCTGTTCTAATTTCAGTACAAAAAGCGAACGTTGCTTGCAGTATCGATCCACCTGATCATTTCCTTTCTCCAATTTTACCTGATCATTACAAAACCATAAAAATTATCCAGTTTACTTCTACTAAGCTTTTTATTCATAAGTTTCATTTGTTGCTGACACGGATCAGTTCTACAAGGTGTGAAGTTACTTACTGAGCGAACAGCACAAAAACAAGTTGTTCAAGCACTAGCTGTAGAACGAATCGAAAACAATTCTCTTCAAACAGTTTGAAGGTCATCGGTTAACTTGCCCTGAAGCATAATGGTGCTCACGATATACAAACGGGTGTACGTGAGACAATAAAGGCGCAGTGCTTTAGAGGTCGGCTTCAAACTCTAACTCCGGAGATGCCAAGTTCAATTCCAGCGGCGGGCAGTCGCTGTCTTTACCACAAATTCCTTTGAACAACGAATTTACTGCACGTTGCTTCAGACCTGATTTGGATTACTCTCTCGGTAGAGCGTTGGACTCAGAACCAAAGGGTCTTGAGTTCGAGCTCCGGATGAGTCACTCACCTGTTTTCCTTCCACGGTTGACAAATGAGTACCATTCTGACTCTGATACATAAGTGCAAAAGAAACAAGAAAATTTAAAGATTATGCTTGTTACAGCTGCAGCCGATTCTAACATTAAAAGAAAGGCACTCATGACTGATGGCATAAAAATGGAGACCAGCGCAACCACCACTAATTTTATGAAAACAAGGGTCCCAGAACAGGTCTATCATGTAAGTGTAAGTAAAACAGATCTTCCAACGGTTATAAACTTTCCTTTTCTCTATTTTGAAAAGAATAAATATCTTGTTCGCACTTCTGACAGTTATAGCGAAAATATGGCAAAACCATATTTAACACAACGTGTAATAACGCTCTGTCTGGTGAATTTACCAGTCTGCTCAATAACTTCAATGCACTTCCTACCTATTAATTTCAAATGCCATCTTCCATTCAGAGAGTAGAAGGGATAAAGAAAAAACTTTACCATGTTATCGCTGAGAATGTATAGACGAAGACTTCAATCCTTTTATCCGAGTTTGGTATCAGGATGTCCCTCCATACAGAGTTACCTTAAAATCTTAAAGAAGAGGTCTGTTAAACCAACGATTACCCCTGTTTCGACAACAGGCCGTTTCAATTTCATGACCAATTCAAACCAATTTCCAGCACCAAAGGCAAATGCTCGAGAGAAGAGTGACGTGTCCATTGTCTTTTAGTAGCGAACAGCGGGGCAAGTGAGTCCTTCATCATCCACTTATGAGGTATATGTTCATCCACAATTGTTATTGTTCCATGTAGACATGATTTAAATGGTTCAACGTCTTCAGAACAAGGACCTTGAACTGATTTAGTTTACTGTTCAGCCAGAACATTAGTTTGTGACTAACATTTAGATTATGCTCTAGCCGACCATCAGTAAAGAATCCTGAATCGAGAGGTACTGTTTTGCTCCAATCAGATATTTGGAAGAGATTCGCATTCTGTTGGAGAATCAAGTCCGGTCTGGACTAGCAAGGATAATCTTTTTCCACTGCATAGGAAATACTTTCCTTGGATTCAGTAACAAAATGAAAGTCGACAAATGCTATTATCGTTTACGTGACAAAAGGTACAACTAAGAACAATTCGAATGAACCACTGCCAGATTTCAATGAACCTCACACAATGACAGTAAATGTGGTTACTTCGCGAAAAATGCTTTACGAAAGCCCACAGACAGTAACCGCTGTTCAGACATTGTTGGAGGCGAACTATGCATTCCGGCTATCCAATAAAGTGATGCAACATGCATGAGCATTCTGTAGATTTTCATAAAATATGGATCCTCGGCATGCTTGAATAGCCCTCTAGTATCTGGGAAGTGACATAACAGCGGGCAATCAAGCTTGGTGAGCAATACATAAGGCTATTACCACAATAAGCACAATGTTAATATTTCGTCAATCTTAATTTCTACTGTTGTGAAATCGTGGGAACTTGTTCACTTAGTTTACATGTACTCAGAAATATTGGATGAGTGGACAGTTGCTGGAGCACTATGAGATGTACAGATAGCAGGTGCTGCGCCATAGTAAATGGCATTAAAAAAAGACTTTTCAGTGCTGGCACTGGTCACTGTCATCTTCTGCTTGTGTCGTACATGGATAAAACAGAGGCAGCCAAAACAATGAGTGTATCGGTGTAGTAGATGTGGAGACGAGAAGGCTGCTGTTTGCAAAGTACCATTTATTAGCATCTTAAATTAATCTACAGCGCTTTCTGGAAAGAAAGTTATTTGGTTCTGAATATACGAACTGCTACGAATGATAAAAAACTTGCGAAGCTCATGCACCAATCTGTCTTAAAGAAGGCCAACAAAACATGGGTTGAATCGTTGGTACTGGTCAGTTACAGCGTTGTTGTACAAATAAACCGTGTTCTATGCTACTTTTAGCACGATGGCCAACGTCCGAACCAAACACTCCATCTTTGGTCGCAAATAAAACTTAGACACATTTTTTTATGAGAATGAGGTTCGTGCAGCGAAAATAAATTATGCGATATGCATCTAGCGCTGCGCAGCTCAAATACCATGAAGTCATGGCTTGTTTAACTGGCCCACTACCAGCTACTAGAAAAGGGGTACAGAACACCGTGAAATCGGGCGAACTTCGAAAATATTATTAGAACGAATGTTGCCCGATAAAGTACATAAATATGCCTTTGTCACCGCCTCAAAGCACATTTCAACGAAGATACCAACCTACAATCGCACACATGAAACGAAGAGTAAGTACCTTGGCAGAATAGGACTAGATTCAACATACGGGTACAAAGAATCCATCAGTTTGCCTTTCGCGATCTGGTCCAGAATTTCTACCAAACGAGGCTGGTGCTGAATGTATATATTCTCCACACCCTTAAAAATTCCAGAAAAAGAATCAGCATCGATAGGCAAGCTAGCTGTGTCATAGAGACTGCACCAATATCGTACCTTAAAGTCTCTAATCAACTTTTTGGTCATTCTGATGGGGTCGATGTTGCCTAGAGTGCCCTCGGGTGCGTTTTCAGGAATGCCACTGCTGAATTCCAACAGACTGCGTACGGCCTGACAGTACTTCTCCGGCACTCCCCGTTTGCGCAGCAGTTCGACTAAGGAACGCAGCTCGCCGCTGGCGCTACTTGAACCGTACCGAAGGGCGTAGAGCATCACCAAGCGAGTGGCGTCCAGGTCTGAAGTTTTCTCGTGTCTGAGCAGCGCTCGAATCCTCTGTAAGGAGCTACCGTCCTGACACTCATCATGAACATAATATACGAGATGCATACCTGTTGCGAACTGGACTGTTCATCGCGACACGCGATCTGCTGTTCCAGCTCTGAGATCTCCAGCAGGTTGTAAGCATCTACCAATCGATTCAGTTCGCTAATAAGCAATACGTGCTTCTCGACAGTTCCTGAGAACTTTTTGAACTCAGGATAGTGCTCGATAAATGTCTTGATATCGCTGATTGACTCGATCTTCTGATGAGTCTCCGCCTTTTTCTGGTACTCATTGAGAACCTCGCGTACCTGTTGGCCGATTTCTCCAAAATTTAGGTACATGCACTACAAAGAAAAGTCATAACTCCTCACCATGCTACAATCCATGAACATGATCAAGAAGGCTTAAATAAGTGAGGATCTTCAATAAAGCGATATGTCACAAACTCTCGTTGTTGAAATACGTTTCCGTTATATATCTGCTATAACGACCATTAAACAAAAAAGAACATAAGTAAAATCCTGTTACAAAGGCTTCAAGCCATAACAGCTACCTCATGACGTACCATGACGTCAACTCTCTTAGATACTGATTTGAAATAATTGCTTCCACTTTAATTTTTAAATGTTTTTGCATGATGCTTTCAAACCCTTCCAAGCATCTGCAGTATATCTAAAACGGTGCATTTCCTAATCAATCACTGCTATGAAGTTTGAGTCTTGTACAAAGGCAAATATACAAGAACACCATGAACATCGACCTTACTTAACCATCAAGCTACAGAAATTTCTTAATTACTGCACCAATGAATTCAGCATCACTACGGACTAGACAGGACGGTCCATACTCTAGAACAGAGAAATGTACCATTTCGATTCTAGCAACAGTTTCAATATGAGCTATATCAGAACAAACGTTTTCAGGTTACTGAAGTTACACTGGGTCACAGATAGGCATAACTCGGCATGAAGTTGTAATCTACCAGCTTTATTCTCACCACTGCCTCTTATTTATGGTCCTCAATACTGCTTAATTTTTACATTTTTTGGTTTTCAGCATTTCCAATTAGGAAGAATACTTCATTGTACTGCTTTTAATATTGAATGCCTTACTCACTTTCTCTAAAGAAAGCCACCAAATATGATACAGAAACTGGTTAGAATAATGAGATACTAACCAACGAACACATTAACATCAATAGCAAAGAGGACACTGATACCGGCACAATCGCTTCAAACATATTAAATAAGCTAATATTCAATTAATTCCGTACCTCAGCCGAAATTAATTACAAAGGCAAACTCGTGTTTAACTTAGGAGGCAAACGACATATGAAAGGATTTTACCGTGCCTTTTCCAGAAGTTCGCAATAACGGTGACTTCTGAGCGTCCCATCAATTCAGACGGCTCAGAGATTTCTGATGATATAAAGATTCACCTCCATAAAATATAGCTACCACGAATTATTTCTCGGATGCTTCAATGATTCTCTGTGAAATGGATATGCCTGATAAAGTCAAAAAAAACAAAGAACGTAAAATCATTAAAATATACGGACAAGTACGGGCAAGAGGAATTACTTACCGGCTTTGGCAACCTTGTTTTAGCCAGCGTTGGCTATTAAAGGAAAAATTATTACTGATGATCTTATAAGCATGATGGTGGTGAAAGCTTAGCGTACACTCGCTACCACATTACGATACAAGTCGTCACTTTTGCAGCCCTGCCGAGTGCGTGACTTACAGCGGTAAAGATTCAGATCATTACAGTACTAATGCGTACTCAAAAAAGGCTGCTAATATTGAAATGATGCTCCGGGTTAATTATCACAGTAAGATACTCTGGTCATGAAAGGCAGTGACATGATATTGTTGCGTTTTTGTAGTCGTGACGACCGCGTGGTCAAGCCGGGTCAGCGGATCGTTCGTAGATCGGTAGGTGCAAAACACAACTGACGATTCGCTTTGTCGCATCCACCCAAGGTTAAAATCAGTGTATCATCACCTTTGGCAGATCACATCATGCTTCCAAGGAATGAGAAGTCAAGCGATCCTTTCGTTATCATGGCTAATACGTGTAGACTTTCATCTGATATACAATGGGTTAAAAAAATAATGACGATGGCTGATTAACGATTTTATGGTCAATACCAGAAAAAATGGCGAAGTCTGTTCTGAAATGAGAGCCATAAGTTTAATCACTGCTTGCTCCTCATAATATGAAAGTTAATACGGAGTTTGGAGCTAAATCTTTTGTGATATACTGCAAAATATATTGGCTTTCTGACTATGTGTAAAACTGCTGCATTATTATGCACTAATTAATAGTATAACTATCGCAACAACTGTAACAACCTACCTTGAAAAAGGTTCGTGAGATATCGGCCTATCATCCGACAAGCTATTTTGTTAAACTGTTATAGTGTCACTAACGTCAAGATATGCTCCTGAATGTCACCAAGGAAAAAACAACGCATAAATTCTCTACTTACAATCGTTCCACATGACAACTATAAGAGAGCATATATCATAATTCTGAAGGCGGATCGCATTTAGTCCACTCGTCAGTATCTCATACAAAATGATTACAAGTAAAAACGGTATGCGTTGTTCATCCATTCGCGACATTCCGCAACATATTGTTATTCCCTTTATAAACAATTGTCTACGATTGTACTTTCATTGCATTTTCACTAATATAAAGATTTAATATATGAAATCGATAATTTTCACCTGACAAAGTTCACTAAACATTAAACAAATATTATGATGAAACCTTGTTGTAGAAATGATCCTGTAATGGATTGAGAATAATTTCTCGATCAGCGTCACCGCTTCCACCACTGGCCACTAGGTGAACGCGGTTATTCTTTATTCCGATCAGTTCATGAACCATCGCCTCATAAGTCCACTGAAACAAACGCATCAGTCAGTAATTTTACATAGAGTACTCTACAGTGAATGAATATTTTGATTAAGAAATTCAATGTATTGCGTATATAGATCATATAGCTTAATCTGTCTGTTAACACGGAAGATTCTAAATACGCATAATTTCTCCGGGCTAACACGTCAACCTATACCTCAGCATTCCATCCAGCGGTATAGGGAGACATGAAAGCAGGTCACGGCAAAATTTTATTTGAGCTTAAGCAGTGCACAGATGCAAACTGCATGCATTTGGAAGAAGGACCCGCAGATTCATGTATCTTCCAATTTTAAATTTACAAGTTTTATTCTGTGATGGTTTAATTAGCTATTCGGCCAATGCCGTAGTTTGTTATCGTAATTTGAGGCGCTAGAAGCCTAACATCCTAGCCTTAATTAAACTAAAGAAATCTAACATACAAGATGTGATTATTCCATAGGCTAAAACAATAACTGCCTTCACAAACGATATGCTTGTTATAACAAGTACATCTCCTTCTGGCAAGTTTTAACACTAACTTTGAAACTACCTTTTTTCTTCTACACCTCTTGATCAGCTCCAATAGTGGGAAGTTCTTATCATGTACTCCGAGCCAATTCATAAAACTGTGAGAAGCTTCGATCTCTTTTAGATATTGAAGGAGGTACCGATTTGCTGTCTGTTTGAATAACAACTAAAATATTCGTTTCTCAACCCATGGTTCAATGCAACAATTAACATGGAGCGAACTGCTGATGTTCCATCTTTAGTCCAATCTTCGTATGGTTTTTTCTGACGTAGATCTTGTTGCAGTCGTTGCAATCGATCATACAAACCATATTCTCGCCGGGTGATGAAATTTCCGGTAGATCTGCGGCAGAGAGGTGTTACTCTCACAATGCCTTAAATTACTTCTTCAATCCTGTGAACGTTCGTCACTCAGTGATACGACCTTTTTTCGAGGATATTGGCAAGCAGCGTTACTAGAAAACGTTCACATGGTTGATCCTGATCTTTTACTGCTTCAGGCTGCTGCCGTTTCGGGTCCATAGAGGAAAAGGGAAAAGACCGCTCCTTTCAAGATGGTAACCGTTGGTTTCATCCCAATTTGTTGGTTTTTCCATACTCCGCACAGTTTTGCAAGGTTCGCTGCTGTGAACTTTATGCACCAATTGAAATCCTTGCTGCATACTCTGGCAGCGAGAAATTCCGGATCAATGCCGGAGTCGCTCATTAAAACGGCATGTACTCCAAATTGGCAAACCGCTGGTCATGCGACTTAATGGTAAAACCATTCAGAATCAGATGGATCAAAAAGAATAGCAGCCGTAAAATCTCAAAGTTTTGTGATGATCAGTCAGAACCCCATACTTTCGCTACTGACCATGGAACAGTTACTTAATGTCGATTTCTCGAGTTGCTGCACGGCACTACAATTGGATGATTTACTTGCTCAATAAAATTAGCAATCAAATAGAAAAAAATCATGCTGCACTCCGATTTGAACCCTGCACCTCTAAAGTACCAAATAAACTTATTCACTCCGACACTGCCCCTTTCCCCGCCTGTTTCTTTTTCACAGAAAATATTTACTCTGCTCCAAACTCAGCGCCTGAACCGGAGGTTAAACCATATTCTAAGAAGAAGAGATACTCAAGGATAGGCCGCTTGACGTTTCAATCCATTTGACTGTAGCAAAGGAGAAATGAACAGAAAAATGTAAAGATGATTACCTTGTTTAACAGCGGAGTCACAGGATCGCCTCTCCGATCCAAAATAAGCAGAAGCGTACCGTCGTCGCTTTTCGTCTTGAATTTGAACAGTGTGGATTCTTTGTTAATAAGACTCTAAATCAATAGGTAAAATGAATTATCGATTTCAGTGATTCATAAAACGAGCAAATTCAGTTGGGTTTACATCACATAAACGACGAGGTCTGCAGTGACATCAAAATGTAAAATATATCAGAGTTCCTCATGAAACCGATTCTCCAAGGACGATGTTACAGAGGGGCCTTCAACAAGATGCTACATGAAAACGCCATGTACGTATTTTGTTGAATACATGTCTGCGTACAACTTAAAGGCTTCGTGTATCAGTGATTCTTCTAATAGACGTTTTACTCGTTCAAAGAAAATGCTCTTCTAGCAGCGATGTAAGTTTCTGCATCTGTTTGTTTGGCAGTGGCAACCAAAGCCGTCGACTTCATGGTCGCTCGCATATCATGCAAAACGACAGCGACTGCAGTCTTGTGATACCCCGTTGAGTAGACTAAATGTTTCAGATCCAATAGCAGAACAATACAACCAAAGTTTGCGGTAAACCATGCTTGATCTCCAAACAAAGCTGTGGATGCCGTCAGACGCCTTACTAATACCATGAAGGAAGCAGCAGCTGTTGTCGTTCATGGGACCAGGATAAGAATTATCACTAATTTCACTGATTAAAAAGTCTATCACCGTTGTTCGAGTCTTGGGTGTGCTACTTTAACAATATCTTCCAAAGACCTCGGTTACCAACAAACGGACAAGCCGAAGCATTAGCTGCTTTCAGATGAGCTCGTTCAGTACTTCTGCTGTGCGGCAATTACTTGTGATAGTCTGACTCGGTTATTCCGAAAGGACAATATGTTGATTTGAATCTGTCACGCCTACGATAAAGCATAACATCGCATAAACAATCAAAACGGCAGAATTTAACCTTAACGCATATAGAATCTTTTCAAAGAATCCAACATTTTTACGGCCATAATTTTTCCGTATCGTACCGGCATAACAAAACTTTCCTGATATTTCATCTTCATCTTCCTTGGCCGCTTCTCCTTTCGGGTCGCGGAGGCAGACACGTCAGACAGAGCTTCCAAAGTTCCCGATCCTGTGCC